ATATATATATATATATATATATATATATATATATATGTATAATGGCTAGCTAGCTAGCTAGCTAGCTAGCTAGCTAGGTATTTGTCTTCGCTTTGTGGGGGTGTAGAGAGAGAAGAAGAATTACAGAGAAAAATATTTATACATTTTTGGGGTGTATGTACAGCTCAGCTATCTGCTACCACTATGGCTGCTGCAGCGACACTCATATATAAATTATATTTTTTTATTTGTTTTGTTTCAGCAGAAATATATAAAAAATAATTATAAAAAAACATAAAGACAAAGTTAATTACACACGGGACCTAGTTCTGTAGCAGGAACTGCAACAACAGCAACTGCAGCAGCAGCAGCAGCAGCAGCAGCAGCAGCAGCAGCAGCAGCAGCAGCAGGCGGTGGTGAGAGACCGCTATGCGTGCAGCTTCTTCTGCTGTTTGTGTGCTGTATTTTGGTGTTGTTGATTGAAATATTTATTTTTATAAATTAAATAAATAAAAATAAATAATAAACAAAACAAATAAAATACTGTTTCATACGGATGCAGCAGAACGAGGTGTACATACACCCCACGCTGCTGCTGCTGCTGCTGCTGCTGCTGCTGCTGCTGCTGCCCCCAGGTCTCTTCTTCTTTCCGCCTGACATTTCTTTCTTTCTCTACAAATACTCTAAACCTAACAAATTAGGGTTTAGGGTTTAGGGTTTAGGGTTTAGGGTTTACACACAGGCTCCCCCGTATACCGCCAGACCCTGCGACGCCGCGAATGGACCGCGGCGGTTTAGGGTTTAGGGTTTAGGGTTTAGGGTTTAGGGTTTAGGGTTTATATGCTAGTGAGCTGTGATATTGAGTTTCTGCGGCGGTTTTCCTTATAGTTGCTTCAAGAAGACAGCAGCAGCAGCAATAGCAGCAGCAGCAGCAACAGCAGCAGCAGCAGCAGCAGCAGCAGGCGCCGACGCACGAAGGTGACCGCAGCAGCAGCAGCAGCAACAGCAACAGCAGCAGCAGCAGCATCAGCTACATACGTAAGAAATATTTAAGCTGGTGATGCCCAGGGTCCACAGCTCTAGGTTTAGGGTTTAGGGTCTAGGGTTTAGGGTTTAGGGTTTAGGGTTTAGGGTTTAGGGTTTGGGGGGATGCCCCCGCGTGGCTCTGGGCAGAGTAGCAGCCTCCCCCAGCAGTCGCCTTCCAGCGGTGATGCAGCAGCAGGAGCTGCAGCAGCAGCAGAAGCAGCAGCAGCAGCAGAAGCAGCAGCAGCAGCAGCTGCAGCAGCAGCAGCAGCAGGAGTGGCGGCAGCAGAAGCAGCGGCAGCAGGAGCAGCAGCTGCAGCAGCAGGAGCAGCAGCTGCAGGAGCAGCAGCAGCAGCAGGAGCAGCAGCAGTAGAAGTAGCAGCAGCAGCAGCATTACTTGCGGGTCCAGCAGCAACCGCAGCAGCAGCAACAGCAGCAGAAGGAGCTGCAGCAAGACGAGCAACAGCAGCAGCAGCAACAGCAGCAGCAGCACAAGCAGCAGCAGCAGCAGCAGCAGGACCAGAAGTATCAGCAGCAAACCCACAAGCAGCAGGCGTATCTGCATCATCAACCGCAGCACTTGCAGCAGCTGACTCAGCATCAGCAACAGCAGCAGCAGCAGCAGCAACAGCAGCAGCAGCAGCAGCAGCAGCAGCAGCAGCAGCAAATACAGAAGATGCAAGGAGTTCATCTGGTTTTTTCTCTACAGCTTCATTTCAATTAAATAGCAGCAGAGAGACGCTAGACTCACCATCAACAGAAACAACGCAGCAGCAGCAGCAGCAGCAGCAGCAGCAGCAACAGCTGCAGCAGCAGCAGCAGCAGCAGCAGCAGCAAAGGCAAGAACAACAGCAGCAGCACGAGCAGAGCTACCATCGTCGTCACCATCATCCGCGGCAGCTGCATCAGCTGCAGCAGCACCACCCCCCCCACCACCATCCGCAGCAGCAGCAGCAGCAGCAGCAGCAGCAGCAGCAGCAGCAACAGCAGCAGCAGCAGCACAGAAAGAGGCTGCAAGCGATGGATGCGGATTGCTCAGGCCCCCCCCCTCCCTCTGCTGGGGGAGAAGGGGTAGACAGCAGCAGCAGCAGCAGCAGCAGCAGCAGCAGCAGCAGCAGCAGCAGCAGCAACAAAAATAATAATGAGAGAAAGACAAAAGAAAAAGCAAAAACAAACGCAAGTGAGTCTGACGATGAGTATAATAAAGAAACGCAAAAAGAAAAAAAAGAAAAAAAAGAAAAAAAAGAAAAAAAAGAAAAAAAAGAAAAAACAGAAAGACAAACAAATACATCGTTTTATCGTTTGCATGCATCTGCTGCTAGAACGTTGCTGCGGCGTTTAGGTGCAGCAGCAAAGGCTCGTGCTTCTCGTCTCTCTCACCACCCCTCCCAGCAGCAGCAGCAGCAGCAGCAGCAGCAGCAGCAGCAGCAGCAGCAGCAGCAAGCAGAAGAGGACCCGCTAGCTCTATGGGCCGGGGGCTGCTGCCTCCCCTGCGTGGGGTGTATGCACAGCAGCGACTGTCTTTTTATCTCCTGCTGCACGGATTTTCATCTCCCGCTGCAGCTGCGGCAGCAGCGGCAGCTGCAACGCATGCTCCAT